GTGTGTGTGTGTGTGTGTGTGTGTGTGTGTGTGTGTGTGTGTGTGTGTGTGTTTAACTACACACTGCTTTGTAAAAGGGCACTTCCTGTAGGGCTGCAGATGCGTGTTAACAATGTTTAATATTGCGATAACGATATGACTTGTTAGTGTTGATGTCTTTCTGCTCTGTGTTCAGAGCAACAAAGCAACATCATTTCCGCTCCAAAATGACAGTTTTATTTTTCAAAATTGCGACTAGATGCAGCTGCTGTATGAGAAGTGAAACAACAAACTGCATGTAAGAATTTAAAGAAATTTAAATAAAAGTTCACAAACCTAAATACAACTACAAATTCTCTCATTGCAGTTGTCCAACATTTTCTCCACTCACTAAGTGGTTACGGTTTGATGTGGTATCTCAGGTCCATTTTGTTTATCAGACTTGATGAAATGCATAAATGCAAACATTTGTGCCAACCAATTCTTACAGTTTACCAGTGGTTCCCAAAGTTGGGGTCAGGACCCTTTTGTGGGTCACAAAATGTCAAGTGAGGGTCCCCAGATGATTTCTAGACATGAATTTAATTGAAGGGAAAAAAAGCTAATGTATGCTAATTTTCACCATGGTTATTGCAATTTTCAAAACAATAGTCATAAATGAAGACAAATGTAGTTATTAGATTTGTTTATATTGCTGTTATTCCCATGTTTAACAGAGCTTTTAGCAAGGTTTGTGTAAGTGAACAAGTAATATCTGGGGTCGTGAGTGTCTGCAACTGTTATTTTGTGGGCTGGAAGCAAAAACGTTTGAAAGCCATTGGTTTACACAACTCATTTACCTTAAAGAGATCTTAATATGTTGTTATTTCTCAATTAAAAGTTGTCATTTGTGATGTGTAAACTCCCAATTAGCTTCCAGGCTAATATTATTAGCAATAGTTCCTGTGCTAACATTATTAGCTCTGGAGCTAATCAAACATATACAGCCTATTACTAATGAAAATGTGGTGCACATATTTACTACTAGCTCTGGAGCTAACGTAAAGCTAAAGCATTAAAGCTGACGTTCTCCTTTCATGAAGCAGCTCTGTTGACCTCCATCATCCTTTTCAGATTCACAGTCATTTCTACATTCTCCTCTCTGTCTACGCACTCTGCTTTCATGGAAAAGGACGTCAGATATTGTCCAAAATAAATGTTCAAGCTTGATGGAGCTTAAACCTAAATTACAAAGAATGCTGTGTAAATAACATAGTGACGTCTGTGTGACGATGTCTTTTTTTTAATAAAAACTAAAACAGCCAACAGTATTTTCACAGTCTTGTGTTATATTTGAAGTAAATGTTTATCAAACAATGTCTAATGTTACTATTCTGAAATCCCTTTTAAAGGTTTTACCAACAAACACAAACTATATGAAGCTGTAAAAGCTTAGAGCTTCGACCCTTTTCAATAACCTGCTTTCTTTTTTCGCTCTCTTTACCTAGACTGAAGAACTCCTCAGGACTTGGCGTCTCAACCTGCTGCTTGAAAACAAAAACACAAACCTAAAAGACAAGACGATTCGGCCCATCCGCCGGGCCCCCGTGACCTGAAAAGACAGTTTGGACCTTGGTCATCACGAGACACAAAAGAAATAAGCAGGTCACCATTTATGGCGCAAATCGCCCCAAAGCGGGACAGGTGTGTTTTTTTTTCTCTGTTTTTTTATTTATTTTTTTATTTTTTGTGTACATTTTTTTTTGGTACGTCTCATGTTTCCCTGCACTTTGAGAGGCCATTTCTCCTGTGACCTACATTTTTGGCACAAGCACAGAAGCAAAGATAGTCAGACAAGCTGTAATGGTACACAAAAACTATTTATTTACTCCAGGGTAGTTTGTGTCTGAGTGCGAGTGTGTCTCTGAGAGCAGCTGGTATGTAAGTGAACAACGAGAATACCAAGGTACACTGACTATATATATATATATATATATATATATATATTAGATACTTTATTTATTTTTGGATGCTGAATGTGTGATAAGACCTGCCCAATGCCTTAATGTGTATATTCTTTATGTTTTTTTATTAAATATAAGATAAATATTCTATTAAGGTTTGTTTGGATCTCTATATTGTTGTTCTATTGTGGAAAATACAGTTTTCCAATTAAAATATACTGTTTCAGAACTGAACCGAACCAGTTTGGCTGCTGGAGATCTGATTTATTCTGATGAAATTTAAAGTATTTTCTTAATAAATAATCACCTATATATTCTAAACCCAGGTTTTTTTGTCCGATAAAGAGCTTTGGACTTAGAGGAATATATTTCAAAGTGTCTATAAGAGTTATTATGCATGTTGTTGTAACTGTACCTCCCACTGATCCTCAGTCACTTGAGTCTAAAGACCTCACACACTCCTACCTTTGAACCTACGGCCTGCGGTTCTGACCCACGCAGGCCATCCTGCTGTGATATCATTTGACTGTACAACTGTCTTGTTGTGATGGTGTTGGGGGCGACTGTTTCTAACTCATGATGTGAGGCTTAAGTAGAGGAGATAATGGCACTGAAAATGGCACCATAATGGAGGTTCAATGAAGATCTGAAAACATAAAAAGCTAGCAAGCTAGCTGAAACGTAATATGTCAAACTGAAACATTGAAAAGTCCATGTACCTCAAAAAATCAGTCAAGATAACCAACATGCTAGCTAATATCGTTTACCTGTCACTAATGGACCATAATACTGAAATAATAGCAATGATTTACAGCTAATGATTTTAAATTAAAAATGTTTTAATTTTTAATTACAAGTTTATTTTTTACAGAGAACATGCACAATTTAAAGGAAAAACAAAAACTGCTAACGTAGCGTATTTCCAACAGAGTTTCTCTAATGCTAGCAAACAATAACTGACCGGTCTCTAATGCAGTAGTGGGCATGGTTCCACTAATCAGCTAAACAAATTTTATGTGTAGCGGATTGGCTTTTTACCTAACTTTGTAAATTATTAGCAGACCAATTAGCTTATTCTATACTAGTTTTTTTTCACAACTTTAAGTCACTAACTAACGAGCTAACATTAACAGGTTTGTGTCAGTCCCATCTGTCTTCATCTCAAAGGAGACAACCTGATGCTGGCTCACTTTGCTGCATCCTCATGAGTACAGAGCCCATTCTGGGCCACGTCTTTCCAGTACAGTAGGCTGCATAAAACTGCTGTGAAATGAGACAGTCCAGCCTTTGCTTGACGTATGTTTGCATGACTACGCACTTCGTTCACGTCATATCAGACTTAAAATGCGTTGGGATGTGTATTTACCCATCTTTTCACAGAACGACTTCACAATTACAATGTTACACGTAAATAAATAATTAAAAAATAATAATTTTGGTTTAGCTTCAGTATCAGTACTTGTAGTTGTGTTTTATATAACATCTTATTGCAGCATGAATTTCATCAACTAAGTTGCTAAACTTATGTTTAAAAACAAATTCTTTGGTCCGTGATGTCTTTTCCGAACTATGCCGACTTGGTAAAAAAATAAAACTCTGCCGTCTGCGCACTGAATCCTGGAATATCCTCAGTTGGGAAGGACACTCTGATGCATTCTTGATTTTTTTTTAATTTTTTGGGCCTCATGAGGAGGCAGCTTCGAATTGGGACAGCACTCTGCAAGGGCAGTGACGTACGCAGCCGACAAATGCGTACTTATGAGGACGCAGCCCCTGAATTGAGACACAGCCTGAATGACCATTGCTTTACAGATTAGCAATTAGCTGTTAAGTGTTAGCTTTTGCTAATTTTTTTATATATTTAGTTAGTGGATTACGAGTTAGAAAAGCAAACTTCTTGGTTAGCCGTACCCACCACTGCACCAATGGACCATAACTGTGAAACAATTTACAGCTTCAGAAATCTAAAGTGGATTATTTTTCAACTTCTCTTAAGTTTAAAAGTAGCTTTAAAATTGTAAAGTGTTACTGTGAGCATAATGAGAAATGTTAACATGTAGCATACTACAACAAGATACTGTCAATGTTAGTGTTCCTTTTTGTATGTATTTTTTCACATTTAGCAGTTTAGCATTAGTTTCCAGTATTTTCTTTAGCATGTTTACCTTATTTATTAGCTTTAATTAAACTATATTTTTAGTTTGCATATTATTATTTTAGTTAATTATACCCACCACTGCTAATAAACCTACAGCAAATAAACCATCATAAATGCAAGATTATTTATTAGCAGTGTCTATAACTTTTACGCATAGGATAAATGCTAATATGTAGCATAATATGCCAATTTGGTAAACAAAATTACAGATTCAAACCTTCCTAATCTTGGCTGACAATAAATGTAAAATAAATGAGGAAGTATGAAAACTGTCTTTAATTTAGGTACGACACAATTTTTATGTGCCCAAAAGAAAACTTATAAAAAAAAATAAAATAAAATAAAAAGTTTAAATTTTATCATAGATCCTCCAAAATGGCCGCCAAGATTTCAAGAGCACTCATCAGCTTTTTGACTGTGGTCTTTGTGTTCTCCATGCTGCTGACTCTAACCAGATCCAACCAGCTTCAAGCTCCTTTAGATGTAAAGTAGATTGTAAAAAACTGTCTGAATGTATCTCTGAGCAGATTTTAAATGGTTTAAATAAGTGTTGAATTTTATTGGAGCTGTACCAAGTTAACTTWTGGTATCTATTTATCAGAGTTTTAAATGTGTATATAGTGTAAATATATATTAAAAAGAGTTTAACAGAAATTTCTTGGATATATGTAGAGTTCTTAAATTTATCTTAAACTACGACAATGTTGATGTGAGAAACTATGAACTCTAGATTTTTACAGGGTTTTTGTTAGAGGATATATACTTTACTGTCTGCATATTCCCCTCACAGTTTCTATGATTATATGGAAAATACAAATAAATTGTGTTTATTTTATTATAGAGATCTCTTTGCCTTGTTGACACACTTTACCTAATGGCATATGCAATAGTGACATGAATAAAATCTAGTTTACAACTTTGGAACCAAATGTAACATTGCATTCTTATTATTGTTATTATTTTCTTGTTAAATAGGAGCCGTTGAGCTCCGTGTATATTTCTCTCTCTGCCAAGTGTTTTGTGTTCTCATTGCTGGTAAATTTTGTTCTTGAAGCATTTTTTCCTCTATTTTTGTCTCTATGTTTGGATCATTCTGTAGTAATTGATCATGAATTGACTCAGTTTGAATGTTTTGTCTTCCATTGTACATATTTCAATATACTGTTTATTGTGATGCTCACAGGAGATAATTATAATGATTTATAAATTCTGGTAGTCAAGTATTTTTATTTTTATTTTTGTCTGTATTAATTATTAATAGCAACCAACAGAAATAAAATACTTTATGTACAACTTTAAGTTACAACTTTTTTTGTTTTGCTTCACATTACACATTTTTACATTTTTACAGTTTAAATAATAATAATTGTACAGTTATAACAATTTCAATATGTTAATATTGATTCTTATGTAAGCTGATGCATATTTAAAAAGTTATTTTCATGGCGTCTGAAGATCATTTGTCTCGTTAACTAAAGATGATGTCAGTATTTTCTAAATAAGTTTCAAAACAATGTTTTATTTCTTGATAAGCTATCTTAATATGCTTGTTTTCTCAAGAAATTTTTAGTCTATATATTTAGATAATAATTTACTCAAGACAAGTTAAATAAGAACAATAGTTCAATTTACAGAGAATGACAAGTTAAAAGGGATCCACGATTAGTTGTAACATTAGACTATTTGATAAACATTTATTTTAACTGTAAAATAAAGACTAAAAATACT